TTATATTTCTTTTTGTTTTTTGCTCATGGAAATTAGGTGGTTAAAATACTGTTTCCAAAAGTTCACCTGGAGTTCCCTCCCGCCCCCGGTCCCTTTCAGTGTGGTTCAAGTACAATGAAGTTCATTTGTGTTTGCTCTAATTGGGTTCTTTCTCCTACTATTTTTAATTTCTTTAAATGTATAGAGCATTAATATGTATTTAAAAGAATTGTACTAACTATAAGGATGGGTATTTAGAGTACTGTACTATAAAACTTATGGCTTTTAATTGTGTTTGTTCTTTCAGGGACTCATTTCTTTCTTCACTGTTAGAATGAATATGTAAAGTTCCTGCCAACCAGTGAGAATTGCTTCCTTTGGATAGTTTTTGTTCTACTTACTGCACAACTGTTTTGGAAGTTCCTTTTTTGGTGCCATGTTCTGTGGCTTGCATCAAAAGAGAGGTTTGTCTTCATGAAGATTCCTAACATTGGTAATGTGATGAATAAATTTGAGATCCTTGAGGTTGTAGGTGAAGGTAAGTTGGAACTTTCTCATTTCTTGAATTTTTGAGCAATGTACAGTTTATATCCATGGCCAAAAAGTTACTAATTCAGATCATGTTAATTGAACTGTACCAATTCAGATGTATGTTTAAGAGTAAAAATATTAAAAATAAAATTAGTCTTAAGCTATGTTGGTTTTACTCTCCAAGTGGAAGTTAGTAACATTAAAAAACCCTATAACATTTAAAGTCCAGAATTTCTTTTTCTCCTTTTTAATAGCCGGCATTCATGTGTGCTTGCCAGAGAGAGACAGTGAGAGGAAAGGGAGCAGGATGGGGAGAAAGCATCCCCAATGGGACGTGGTTATGCTGCAATCCCTCCTCCTTTATTTCTTTATCCTGTCAGGATCGGGGGCACTCATGCCGACATGCGCAACATGTTTTTCAAGCCACCAAGACAGGGATTCAAACTGCATCATTGATCATGTGGGATCCAGCTCCCTTAACCATTAGACACAGAGTGACCCAATCCCACATTTCCTAAGACTACCTTTGTGTGATTCTTTCATTAGTAATCATGTTTTCTTTAGCATGCATTTTTCTTTTTGGTTGCATTTTATTTTTACATCAGCTAGATTTACTTTGAATAATTTAAAATTTATTTGTGTATGTTACATTTCACTTAATACATGGTAAATAATGAATAAGCAACTTCTGTTTCTTTGAGAACGACAAACTACATTTTGCAAATTCTACAATTTGGTCATATTTTAGCATCTCTAAAATCAGGATGTGTCTCATAATCAGCAGCACTGCATGGATTAATTGAACATATTTTTCTTTTCTGGAAATACATAAAATAGTGCTTTCAACCAGTGATACTGATTTGATAAAATATGGCAATTCATTTTTCATAAACTGACTTCTAGAAAAATGATCACCTCTTCCAGATTTTTCCTGCTTAGTAATTTTTGCCCTTGACTTAACGAAAACTTTATGGAAATTTTGATAAATGATTTTGTTCACAGGAAATATGTAATTATAATTATAGGTTTTTTTTTTTTTTTGGAGAGGTTTTCGCTATAGGGCGCGTGCGCTCGCCAGACAGACAGAGAGAGACATAGAGACAGAAAGCAAGAAATCACCCCCCAGGGAGGATGGTCACGCCGCAATCCCTTCTCCTCCATTCTCCTCTCGGGATCTTGGGCATGCACCCACACGCGCCCGGCGTGAGTTTTAAGCCACTGGGTCTGGGACGCGAACCGCGGTCGACTACGTGGGAATCCAGCGACATAGCCATTACGCTAACTGCTGGTTCCCTATAATTATAGTTTTTTAACATTTATATCTTTAAAGCGAATGTTACAAAAATGTTTTATTTCAGAATTTTAAAATTAAATTTTAAAAGAAGTTTTAAAAATGTATCTATGTGGACAGCAAACCTGTTCAAGGTTTTAATATTCAGTTGATAAATTCTTTTCTAATAAATTCAAACAACTAAAATACAACAATTAAAAATAGAGAGTTTAATTGGGTGCTTGTTTCAAAGTCTGAAGTTGAAATGATACAAAAAGAACGGGCCCTTCTTTTAGTAGTCAACTCCATTTCTTTATTGATTTTACTTATGTAAATAAGTTTTATTCTCAATGTTTTTATCTACTTTCTGTTCTACAGTAGCTGCCTTTTTTATTTATTTTATTTTTCTAAAGTATTGCATTTGGAGACTTACACAGTAAAGCTGCTGACTAGGGTAGGCCAGCACACAGGGTATAACAAGGGTGGAATGGTCCATATTCTGGGCCTGAGTTTTTCTGGATCAGAACCTTGGTTTTCTTAGTATACTTACAAGTGATTATCTTTGCAGAGATTGGCTTGGATGAACCAAATTACAAGACTGTTAATATAAATCAGAATTTGTCAGCATTAAGTTGTAAGCAGAACCATTGCTATATATATTCTTATTTGTAAACCACCTCAGATGATTTTTGGCTAAAATTGATGTATCAAAATTTCCATAAAGTTATCATTAAGTCAAGGGCAAAAATTACTAAGCAGGAAAAATCTGGAAGAGATGATCATTTTTCTAGAAGTCAGCTTATGAAATATATATATTTCATATAAAAATCTGTCACGCAAAGTCTACATTCCTACAGCCTAAATAGAGCATTTTCACCACACTGGAAAACTGGCATAGGCAGGTAAATGAGGATTAGCTGATTGCTTAGTGATTGGGGAGTTAAGTTGGATGGTTATAATGACTGGTTCCATCCTAATGATGATAATGAAATTCATCCATCTCCACCAAAACAAGAGAGACGGGCTCAGGTCCCTGGGACTCTATGGGATACGTTTTCTAATTTTGTCTCCCTGAAGTCCCCTTCTCACAGATGCATGCAGGCTTTGCCTGTCTGCCAATGTCCATGCTTCTGTAAAATGTTTCTACAAAGCTCGATGTCATACATTATATTTTTATTGTCTTAATTAGATTTTTTACATTATAACATTAACCTTAGTTTCCTGGGTACTTTGTTGTCAACTCTCTGTTCTGCCTCTGAGGAAGTAGTTTATCACCTAGATAATAGGCCGACTACTCCAAACCATAGTGATGAATCTCATCAAAATACATCAAAGAAAGTGAAGTACTCATAACCTATGTCCTTGGCCTGAATCTTTATTTATGGCAAAAAGATAACTAACTCCTACTAGTTATTAATTGGAATGCTAAAACCTGCATTATTTTGCCAGTTAGAACAGACATTCCAGGGGCTAGTAGTGGTACAGTGGTTAAGGTGCTGGACTCCCACATGGCCAACCACAGTTCAAGTCCTGGACCTGGAGGCTTGCTTTTCTCAATTTCCCTTTCTCTCTCTCTCTGGTCAAATTAAAAAAAAAATCATAATAACAAATAATATATATATAAAGAACAGACATCACAATATCCTCAAAAAGGGTTTCAGTGTCTCCTAGGACAGATAGCATATTAAGCAGGCTCTGTGCTTGAACTTACTATTGTAAAGTTGTTAGATCTTAAGTTTTAAGTTCCTAGAATCTTTTAATTTTCCACTTTTTCTCAAAGTTCTTATGGCCAGATTTTGTCTCTAAAAATGTTTTAGCTTAAATTTAAAAATGTCTCAAGTGAAATTTTATTTAAAAAGAGAATTTAAAAATACTTGTTTGGGAAAATGATTGTCTTTAACAACAGTTTTTCCTGGGTTAACACAATAGTGTATAAAATATTCATGTCCTATTTGTATGTGCCTTATGGCGTTATCACTATAGAACATTATCATTTTAGGAATCAATATAACACATCTTGATAAGCAATGCTCTGTAGCAGAACTTTGATTTCTTTAAGAGCTCTAGTTTATATATATTCTACTGATTGTTTGCTTTTTTTTTTTTTTAATAGGAGCCTATGGAGTTGTTCTTAAATGCAGACACAAGGTAAGTACATGGTTTTTAGAAAGAAAATATGTGTATCTGTTTAACTGTTTTGAAACCAGCACTCTGTGCCTGTGGGCATATAATTAAAACTCTCTTGTTATGATGATGATTATGCTAATGAAGCAGAATTAGTATGTGAACCCAGAAAAAAAGACTCCAAGTTGAACATCCGTGATTTGAAAATCTAGACTTCAGAAAGTTCCAAAATCTGAAACTTTTTGAGCACCAAAGTAATGTCACAAGTGGAAAATTTCACATCGGACCTCATGTGGTGGGTCACAGTCCAGACAAAAACCCAACACAGTTTATTCAGCATCCCTAAGGAAAAAGGATAGCCCCGGCCCCTTTCAGCTGTGGTATCTCTTTTTTTTTGCATACATCCAGATTTTCCTATGCAAGCATGCCCAATAAGGGTAATGAAAGGCACACGTGCAGCCTAATTACACCAACAGTAGGTTCCCCACGTGGGGACAAGACCGCCAAGCAATACTCTTCGTGGTTTTGTTTTTTTGTTTTTTTTTGGTCTATTCTCTGTGGTGAAAGATATTGTTGAAAATGTCAAAAAGGCCTGCACATATCTGTATAAGACACCAAACATGTAAAGACATCTTTGTTTCTTTGTTCCTTTTTTTTTTGGAGAGATTTTTTTTTGCTGTAGGACATGTGCGCTCGCCAGAAAGACAGAGACAGAGAGATAGAAAGTGAGAAATCACCCCCGGGGGGATGGCCACACTGCAGCCCTTTCTCCTCCATTCTCCTCTTAGGATCTTGGGCATGTGAGTTTAAGTCACTGGGACTTGAACCACAGTTGACTACATGGGAATCCAGCAACATAGCCATTACGCCAACTGCTGGTCCCAAGACATCTTTGTTTCTGATGGTTCTATGTATTTAAACTTTGTTTCATGCACAAAATTATGAAGACTATATATTGAATTGCTGTCAAACTGTGAATGAGGTGTATATGAAGCATAACTGAATTACATGTTTAGACTCAGGTCCTGTCCCCAGGATAATCTATGTACATACAAATATTCCAAAATCCGAATGAAATCCAAAATCCGTTACACTTTTGGTCCCAAGCCTTTTATATAAGGGGTACTCAATCTGTACTTTGATCATGGTTAAGTAGTCATTAGCTCTTTGCAGTCATGTTATTTTCTCAAGTAACTTCACATACACATATATGCATGTATGATATGTGTATTCCATATAATACGAAAGCTGCCTAATTGGAAGAGAGAAAAGGTGGTAGGATAGGCTGACAAAATCAAGATAGTGACAGATTTCATTTGTATCCAAGTTTTTATGAGCAAGGTGTTTCGTTCAGTTTTTTTTTTTTTTTTTGATATAGATCCAGTAACTTAGATTACTTGATGGATTTGAATCCTGATTGTGAAGGGTAGTAGATAAATGTCTGATTATGGACCAGAACTTGGGATAATATTGTACAGTTAAGATTACTGGCTATAGTTGATCACCCTTGACATCTTTAAATGAAGCTTATTATAGATTATTTGACTATGATAATAGTCTCAAATTATTCGGGGAAGTTATTTGAAGTTTCCATAGCTGTTGCTAAGTGATGAGTATGTTTAACTCAGAGACTAACTTTAAGATGGTAAGTGTTGGGACCAGCAGTTAGCGTAATGGCTATGTTACTGGACTCCCATGTAGTCGACTGCAGTTTGAGTCCCGGACCCGGTGGTTTAAACTCATGCCGTGCACATGTGCGTGTGTGCCCAAGATGAGAATGGAGGAGAAGGGATTGTGGTGTGGCTATCCCCCCAGGGGGTGATTTCTCGCTTTCTGTCTCTCTTGTCTGTCTGGCGAGTGCGCACGCCCTATGGCAAAAACCTCTCCAAAAAAAAAGAGATGGTAAGTGTAAGTGTTGAAACTGTAACAATTGCAATTATCAGGTTCAGATTTTTCTGTATGATATACCTTGTCTGAGTAATAATATTTGGCCTCATGTTATTTTTGCATATTAGGTTGTTAGGAAAGTCATGACACTTTCCTAATGACCCAATATAATTTAAGATCAAAACCTTAAGTTTTCCTTGGGTATTTTATAGTGATATAATTTACATCTGGGCTGAACTTAGCAATTAACCCAAAACATTTAAACTCTTGATTAGCAAGAATAATATGTATATGTATGTATGTATGTATATGTATGTATGTATATATGTATACATGTATGTATATACACACATATGTAAAATAAAGATATAATTTTTCATTCTTTTTATTTCCTGTTGTACAAAATACTATCTGCCATTTGGATTTAAACTTTCATGACAGTTCATATAGTTTGGCATTTTAGATCACAAATCTCTTACTTTAATGCAGTGATTTTTCTATTATTCTTGAAATTGGATATTTGAATTATGTTATGTTGATGATAGTTATGTGAAGATCTCTTTGCCAGTAACTCCTCAAAAATGCTTTGAATACTATTGGTTCTTGATTAAGGATGATTAAGAATGTAAAATAATTTAAAGTAATAAATGTAATCAAAATAACTTTAGCACCTTGAACATTTTGTTGAGAAATACTAATGCAGTTCGAAATGAGATAAATGGAAAGCTCACTAATGAAATGCTTTGCTTTTAAATGAGTTACCTTGAGTTACAATACATTTATTAAGCTTGGGAAAAAATTCCTGAGTGGATATTACTTAGGGAAAATTGGCTGTTAGTTTTTAAGTTATATTTGACTGTTTCATGAACAGTCATCCCTTGAAGTCTACAGGGGATATTATTTTAGGACCCCAGAAGATCTAAAGTCCTCAGATGCTCAAGTATCAAAACGGATATGAGGGCCAACTTGAACTCCTATTATACCACGGCTCTGTTCATACTGCCGAGCAAAAGGAGCTTTGGTTCTTAATCTCGTGTTTTGAAATCAAAAGGCTTCTGAGACCTGTACATATCTCACGTACACATACTCATGTATGTATACATAGATGCTATATATGTGTGATATGTAATTCAAATTATGGCAAGATATTTTTCTCCTAGGTTTTGTCATACTTTGACCTGTGACCCTTATACTTCGTCTTGACCTTATCTAAGCCTTCCACCTCTTATGTGAAAATAAAGTTTATCAGTTGGATATATTGTTTTTATCTTTCCACCGATTTGTTTGTTAAAATATTGTTACACGTGACAGTAGTGCCAGCAAGATGGGCCTGTAGTGAAGGTGAATGAGAGCGAAATCTCTGATCTTGGGAAACCAACTCGGAGTGGGAACTCTGAATCCTATGCGTGTAGAGCATTTTGAGTTACAAGGCTATCTAAGTCATAGGTTCATTGCCCGTGGATGTCTGAAGAGATAGGAGCAAAGATACTTGAAAAAAATAACCTATGAGGTTGCTGCAAATGAGATTCTTTTTAAAAATTGTTCTTAAATTCTTCCTGTAAAATTCTTTTTGCTTCCTTTCACTAAATGAGGGACTCATAGCTCTCTTGGTATTGTTGCTTTTTTTCTTCATGTGTCTTAAAAGATAGCACTGGATGGGAAATTTAAAGCATAATTTAGTGCCTAACTCAAAGTAATATGAAACTCTTTTTAGCATTTGCAGCTGTTAGTCACTTAGAATTGTTATAATATATCCTTTTCTCAGCTAAAATCAGACCTTCAAATCTATACCCTTTTATCCAAAAATAGGGAATGTGATGCTCTTCATAAGATTTTCACTTTAGGAGCAAACAAATGCATTACTGCGAAACTCATGTCATAGGTAAAAGTGTATATAATCTTCCTTATTGTACCCATTAGATATAAAATCAGGCCAATTATTTTAAAATTACCCATTTATTGAAGAGCGAAGCTGCTAGGTGGCATGGTGGCTAAGGATGCTGCACTCCCACATGGCTGACTGAGGTTTGAGTCTCAGACCTCGTGGCTTGCTTTCTCACTTTCCCTTTCTCTCTCTCTCTCACTCTGTTCCTCTCTGGTCAAATTTAAATAAATAAATAAATAAATAAATGAAGATAAATAAATAAAAGATTCTTCAGAAAAATTAGCGAAGAGCTTATAAAATGTGTAAATTATATCTGTGTGATTACTTGTGCATAATTTGGGTATCATTTTAAAAAGATTTGCTGTGCAAACCAGCAGGTGGTGTGGTGGTTAAGGTCCTGGACTCTCATATGGATGACTGCTGTTCAAATCCCGAACCTGGCGGCTTAAAAATCACATCGGGTGCATGTGCATGCATGCCCCAAATCCAGGAGGAGAGCAGAGGAGAAGGGATTGTGACATGGTTATCCCCGAGGGGTGATTTCTCACTTTCCCTCTCACTGTCTCTGGTGAGCACGCGTGCCCTATGACAAAAAAAAAAAAATCAAAAAACAAACAAAGAAAAAAAGATTTGCTGTGGGTATTTACATAGTTAAATAATTCTGAGCAATGGTGAATTTGAAAAGATACGATAGAAAGTCACCGTTCTAGTCTGTGTACTACTGCAAGAGTTTAGAAGTCAAGACTATGAAGAGGCAATATAGCTTGTCTTTTGTGACCATAATATGGCAGTGGGCTATTCCAGACCAAAGACCATACTTCTTAACTTACTGAAATAATATTGCCATTTAGAAAAGAAAAATAGATCTAGTACTGTACCGTCTTTTTCCTTGCCAAAAAGACAGAGACAGGGACAGAAAGCAAGAAATCACCCCCCAGGGGGGATGCCACGCTGCAATCTCTTCTCCTCCATTCTCCTCTCAGGATCCTGGGCATGCATGCACACATGCGCAGTGTGAGTTTAAGCCACTGGGTCTGGGACTCGAACTGCAGTTGACTACATGGGAGTCCAGTGACATAGGCAACTGCTGGTCCCGTGACTGCTTCTGTTCTTTTCACATTGGCGGCTATATGAAGACTCTTAGCAGTGACTGTTAAACTTTTATTTATGACTCTATGACTCTTCACGTTTGGAAGATGTCCTAGTATGTCCCCATGGATATGTGTGTGTGTGTGTGTGTGTGAGGAAGAGG